AAATTAATCAAATTTACCCAATTCAACTTCATTAATCACCAACCCAAAACAAGTAACACATTATTTAATCACTTAGAATTGCTTAATCAACTTTTTTCCAAATAAGTCTCAAAAATCCTAATGCAAATCTAATTAAATTCTTCAATCCAATGATAAACCGAATACAATTTAACCTCAAAATCATCAATAACACATAAATATCTTCATTTAAAGATCAAATAACAAAAATTCTTACCTTTGACAATTGACTCTTCAACCCCAATTTCAATCTTAAACTTTCTAAGCATTCCAAGCTTTAATCCAACTAAACTCTACTTTAATCAACTTGTTTTATGGTTTTTCTAAACTAATTGGGTAATGTTTTAACTTAGAATTTGGAGGGGAATGGGAGGAACTAGAGAGTGAACGAGGAAGGGAAGAGAAGGGAAGAAGAAAGAAAAAATGAGGGATGGCAAGTCGTCCCTTTTTTTCTTTTTTTTCTTATACACTACCTAAAAATATTTTATTTATTTATTTTTTTTAACTTAAATCTTATTTTTTAGGATGGGTTATTACATATAAAATCTCAAACTAAACTTAGTAAGGCTTGTTGTTTTAAAAAAAATCGGTTAGGTTTTGAGTGTGAAAGTTGAAGAAAATACAAACGTGAGATTTTCATGGAGAAGATTCATTTGTGTTTTTTTTTTTCAATTTTTACTCTTAAACCTAACTAGGTTTTTTTTTTTTTTTAACAATAACTTAATTGGTTTTTTTTTTTTTTTAACAATAACTTAATTGAGTTTTGTTTGAAATTTTATAGATAAAAAATAATATTTTTAATTATTTGTTAAATTTTAAAATGGTAAAATGATTTACCAGGAGAGTTTTCTTCAACAAAAAAGAAGATAAAATTATAATTTTATATTTGAACATGTCGTCAATTAACGAAAAAATTGATATACTCAAATAAAAAACATTAAAATTTATTGATTGAGAAAAATAGTAAAATTACAATTTGGTATTTTGAGGGCAACGGACACATCATCGAGTTAATGAAAAAATTGATAGAAATACTTGATTGACAATTTTAAAAAATTTAGTATATTAAAAAAAATTAAAATTAATTTACTTGATTGAGAAAAAGTTGAAAGTTGATGTACTTATCATGTCATTATCTCAAAAATTAATTATGAATTTATAAACATAACACCAACTATTTGTTATTAATTTTTAAAATCATTTATTTAAAAAATAATTAAAATAATATTTGAAAAGAATCACTAAATGATTCAAATACGGTTTTTTATGTTAATATTATTGATTATTTTGTGAATAAATATATATAAATTAAATATGTGTATTTTTAAAAAATAATTTTCTCATTAGCATTAAATAAAAAAATCATTTATATTTTGATGGCATGTTTTTGAATTTTAGTAAAATTTTCAATTTATGTTTCACAAATTTTTATTTAAGAATTAAAAAAAAACCGAATCATCTTTTTTTAGTTGAAAAAAATATAAAAATACAAAGAATAATTAATTAAATACAAGAGTTTGATTAAAAAATTATAAATTTCTGTCTTTTTTTTATTCTATATATTTTTAATAAATTTATAAATTAACATGAACTATCATATTAGCACGATTTTATTATCTCGATCCCCAATGTAACGATAACTGGTTTAACTCATATCATGCATGGCTCCACAGTATTTCTATCGCCTGATCCCTCCCATCTCTGTATGGGCCCAGGCCAGTTCAGATTTCAGTGTTTGGTTCCAGTCGTTATTACTAACCGGACCAGCCAGTTGACTGCCCAACGACAGCCGTACCGCAGTGGTAATTTAATTTCACTCCTGAACTTGTGCTTTACAGTGATAAAACTGCATCTATTTGCCACTTCGATTTGTTTCATGAAAATTTATCCGACGAAGACTGAACGAGGTTGCCCCATCGATGAAGTCGAACGAGAAAAAATGGATGAGGTTTTATTTTATTCAAATCCAGATATAAGAAGCTTTTCAAAGTCATTTAAAAATGTAAATCAAAGAGATCTAATATCTTTTTGGCTAAGAATCACGATTTTCTTAAGCCCTTTCCCTGTCCAGTATCCTCTGGACATTTTTTCCAAAGAAGCTGAATTGCTTTTGAGGCGCTTTATTACATCCTCATCCCCAACCAAAATTGGTGTGTTTGGTAATGATTCTACTGTTGTATTTGAAAATATTTTTCAAAATCCGTTTAAACTGATAAAACATTGATTTTCAATTTTTTTTTATGTATTTTATTTATATATTTTTAATTTTCCATTGTTACTTATCTAATTTACAACAAGTTTCAATGCTACCTCTAGCCATTAAATAGCCACTTTGTTAATTCAGTTTGGCAATTTAAGTGTTTTTGTGAGATTTATAAAACTATGAGGTTTTGAGAGGAAAAAAAGAGAGAAAAATAAGATTTTTTTTTTTTAAAAAAAAAACTAGCATTTTGTTAGTTATTTAGTGGTTTATAAAAACCATACGGATAATATTAGGAAATTTAAAACTCTAAGAATAGAAGTAGAGAATTTATGAATCAATAAGGGCAAAATTATAATTAACACAGAAAAAACCTCTGAAAAGTTTTAGTATGTTTAACATCATACAGAAAGGCCAGCGTAATCTTGAACGGATATTAAAGCACGATGGCAGCAGGAATATTACTGTGCCATTTTACTTATTAAATCAAAATAGGAATAAATTATAATTAGTCTCTTTAATTTTGTAAAATAAACTAAAATAATATCTGTTCAATTGATCATGTTCAATTCAATATTAATTTATTGTTCAATTCAATATTAATTTATTTAAAAAACTCTAATTTTTTTCATTAATCTTTTCATAATATCTGTTCATTTTTATTGTTTTTATTAAAAAAAAAAACAAAATAAATTAAAACATACATGAAATGAACAAAAAGGATTAATTAATTAGTTTTGCAAAAATAATAATAAAAAACTAATGTATAATTTACTCATGATGCACAACTTGACAAACAGATCATCAACGTTAACAGAATCCTACACAGAATCAAGTGAATTGTCTCTGTTTTTTTATTCTAGTTTTAAGGATTAATATCCCCTGCTCGCCAATCGGAATGTTTAGAAGAACATTTGCAAATTGACTGATAAGTTATTTTTTTTATTTTTGATTCAAATAAAAAATTATTACTAGTGCGCGCAATGAAAGGGTTGGGCCAGAGAGATTCCTTCCAGGAAGAAAAAAACGATGCTATGTATTAGGAAAATTCAATCCTTCAAAGACATATTCTAAAATTTCTCCATATCTTGGCCCTGAAATAAAATATTTTATGAAACTTATATGGGATGTTGCCGTGAATTCGCCGAAACTAGACTCACCACCACCATGAAACATGAAACAAGTCGCGTCCATAACTTGCTTCTTTGGAGAAATACATTTTGCGTATTTCTGGGGTAGGAAGCAACAGTGATTAGTGAAAACTGGAAACATCATGTGCGTATTCAACCCCCGCCACCCGCCCCTAGATTCCATCAACTTTCTCAATGTTTCACTTCAATCTCATACATATTTTTATATAATTTCAGGTTTTTACTATCAAACTACTTAATATGAACATAAAATTATTTATTTTTAGATAAAATTAATCCAAAATTTCTAATTGTCAACTGAACTGACTATTATTTGAGATGTCAAAATAACATCTTTTTTACATTCTACCGTTAATGATTTTTTTTAAAAAATATTTTAAAAATATTTTTAAACCCCCTAATTTTAAACTTTTTTAAAACATTTTTTCTTACAAATTTTATAAAATTATATATAAAAATATTTTTAAATATTTTTAACTTCATAATTTTGAACTTTTTTTAAATTATTTTAAAATATTATAGATACTTTATAAAAAATATTTTATATTATAATTTATAATTTATAAATTAGGGATGTTAACTCTTAATTATGCTCATTTTAATTTATAAAATATTTTTTTAAAATGTCTGAAATTGTGTATTGTTAATTATGTTTCTTACAATATTTTTTTTAATAAAATGTTTATAATATCCAATGAGCATTAAAATATTTATAATATAAATTAAAATATTTTATAAATTAAAAGAAGCATAATTAAGAGTTGATCCTCCTAATTTTATAAATTATAAATTATAAAAAATATTTTTTATAAAATGTTTAGAAGAAAAAGGTTCTTTAAAAAAATTCAAGACTATAGAGTTAAAAATATTTTTAAAATGCTTTTTAAATCATAATTAATAGCGGAATGTCAAAATAAAGTCATTTTGGTATTTCAAGTAGTAGTTAGCTAAGTTAACCGTTACATATAACGATAATTAAAAAAATTAGATTAATTTTGTTCAAAAATCAAATGTTTGAAGTTCAAATTATACAATTTGATACTAAAGATATGAAATTAGTAAATTTTAATAGAATAAGAGTAAAATTTACCATTAAACCTATTTTTAATTACAAAATTACCTATAAAAATAATTTTTGAGTTGTGAATTAAAAGAAAAAAGCAAACAATTACTTTCCATAATCAATACTAAATGATACCTAAATCGATATATAATCAAAAAATTTTTTTTTTAAACTCATGTATAACATTTTGTACGAATGTATTTAAAAAGAAATCTAAGATATTGGCTTTAAGATTTCAAGTAAAAAATTCAAGATGGAGTTTAAAGACGAAAAGCAGCGAATAACAAGTAACTGTAAAACGGAAGAAGAAAGGGGCAATAAAGCGGATAGTTAGGCTTTCCACGTTTGACTATTTGATCAATTTGATAAAGTGGGACCAATACCAGTCCATCACTCTATCAGTATGATCGATGGATGACATTAAATTTGACGGTGTGATCAAACTAAAAGGAAAGAAAAAAAGTGAGACAAACCAACCTGCCTGCAAAATTCACTTCCAACTCTCTGATAAAGAGCGAGCAAGAAGACAAAGTAAGCACAGCAACCACAGGGAAAGAGAAAGACAGAGATGGCATCGGACATAGCATGCTGTAGTAGCGAGTTCATGTTGTATTTGGTAGCAATAATAGGATTGGTAGCTTTTGCTGGCCTGATGGCTGGCTTGACACTCGGTCTCATGTCTTTGGGCCTTGTCGACCTTGAAGTCCTCATCAAGTCTGGTCGTCCTCAGGATCGAATCCATGCCGGTACTCACACAACCCCACTTAGAAAATGAGACCATAATTTAGTTTTACCTACTTTTTCCTTTTTTTAGTAATTAATTGTATTGTTATGTGTTAAAATTACGCTGTTAAATCGTTGAACTATACTTTACTTCATGAGAAAATTTAAGTGGATGAAGAAGTGATGATTTGTGGTGTATTTTTGGCAGCTAAAATATTTCCAGTGGTAAAGAATCAGCATCTGTTGTTATGTACTCTTTTAATTGGCAACTCTTTAGCAATGGAGGTAGTAAATATATGATGGATTCTTGTTTTCTGATTTGTTTATTTAGTAAATCGCTCTTGACTGTTGTTTGTCTCTTTGTCTTCTCTTAAGACTCTTCCTATATTCTTGGACAAGCTTGTGCCTCCTTGGGCTGCAGTCTTGGTATCAGTGACTCTCATATTAATGTTTGGAGAGGTAGATTATGATTAAAGTGTTCAACTATTTACCTATTTTATTTGGTCTCATGTCAGAAGTTATCTGCTTGGTATTTTTAGAAAGGATTCTGGGTTTTTATGCTTATGGTTATTTGATAACAGATATTGCCACAAGCCGTGTGCACTCGTTATGGCTTGACTGTTGGAGCAATGTTGGCGCCTCTTGTTCGTGTTCTTCTTATGCTATTCTTTCCTATTTCTTATCCAATTAGTAAGGTATAGTGGTTTTCTGATTCTGAGTATATATGATTAGGTAAGTTTTAATATGCGTGAGCTTTATTCTGTGCAAGTTGATTTGGCTATTGACAGTTTGGCGTAGTTGTGAGGAACCAGATACTGCTATTGAGTTTTTTTTTTTTTTTTTGTTTGTTTGTTTGTTAATATGTTTCTCATAAATGCTCTGTCTTGTGCAGGTTCTGGATTGGATGCTTGGCAAGGGACATGCTGTCCTTCTACGAAGAGCAGAGCTCAAAACTTTTGTTAATTTTCATGGCAATGAGGTATATTTAACTTGAAACTAATTCTAGTTGTCTCCTTTGGAAGTTGTAGAAGCCAGCAATTTTGGGGGAAACGTAGAACCTTTGTGGCTTGTGTTTTCACGCACTAGCTTGCTTAGACCCCATGCTCCATTCATGGACATCGTGTTTCAGCTAAAATACAGACCAAACCCGCTGCTGTGGGTTTCTAATATTCACAAAACTTTTCTCAGGCAGGGAGAGGTGGGGATTTGACACATGACGAGACTACTATAATTACTGGTGCACTAGAATTGACTGAAAAGACTGCAAAAGATGCAATGACTCCCATATCGAAGGCATTTTCCCTTGATCTGGATGCAAATCTTAATTTGTGGGTTTATGAAATCCTGCTGATTCTTGCCATTGTGTTTCTCTCATTTTTCTTATTTTTCTGACCGAAATCTATTTGTGCAATCTAGGGAAACATTGAATGCGATAATGACAAGGGGCCATAGTAGAGTCCCAGTTTATGCGGGAAAGCCAACAAATATAATTGGACTTATTCTGGTAATCTCATTTTTTCATATATAGACTTGTTATGATAATCAAATTTCTTCATTGTTGATGTCAAGAATATTAACATTTTTCTTGTGCGTTGATGACATACCACACATGATCATGTTTCTGCTGGTTATTGATTGAGATAAATGCTAAAAGTTTCTCCTTTTTCCTCTTTTTTTTTTTTTTTTTTTGGTTCTTTACTCTTTGTTAATGTTTTGACCTTCATATTGTTAGGCTAAACCCCATGCACTAAGCTTTTAAAAGTTGGCATGCAGGTTGTTAGCTTTAGTCAATCCAAGAACTTCTCTTAGAAGTTTTAGAACTAATCTAGGGTGCAGTTGAAATTATAAAATGTTCCCAGACTACATTTGATTGCATAATGAAGTAAAAAGTAAAACCAAGCAAATGAAGTGTTTGCTAGTTGAATTCATCTATTGTGTATGCTATTTGCAACACTTTTCAAATGTTATATTAGGATATATTCAACAATCCTAACCTTTCAGCTTTCTTTTTCCTGGAGTTATCACAGCCTTCCTACCAATTGTATGTTATTTCTCTGTAATTGATGCACTCTCTTCTCCACACTATTCCCTGGAACTTATTATTTCCACCCATAATGTGCACAGACGAAGAACCTCTTAGCAGTTGATCCAGAAGATGCAGCTCCTCTGAAAAAAATGATCATAAGGAAAATTCCACGGTATGTCTATTCCTTGTTTGCTATGTGTATCTTATATAATGAGAAAATATAAGATGGTGAGTGATTCAGCATGGGATATGGTATGAGAATCAGGACATGAAATTCATATACAGCCTGATGTCAATTGATTGAATGAGCTTATTTGTGTAGTTATGTATTGTTTGCTCGTATCGAAGAGCTTACCCTATTCTTCTCTTGCTCTTTGTTCATTTTACAGGGTTGCAGAAGACTTGCCTCTATATGACATCCTGAATGAATTTCAGAAGGGTCACAGCCACATTGCTGTTGTATATAAAGATTTGAATGCAAATAAAGAGACGCCAAAGAATGAGTTTAAGGACAGCTGCAGAAAGAGAGGCAAAACTGAAAAATTACAAAGGAAAGGTGAGAGCTAAGAAACTGCAAGAGAAGAAGGCTGTCAATGATTCATACCTTTATAATAGCAATTATACCTTTCCTTTTTTTCATTGTTGAAACTAGTCATTTTGCCACTGATAATGCCTCACCTAGTGCTGCATTTGATTCTATTATGATTCGTACTGCAAGCATCCCTCACTTCTGTAGGATGCCTGATTTATTTCATTGAAATAACCTTCTGATCGGTAACTGCCAGATGATAGTGAGTTTAGCTCTACTTCTGCTATCTCAAATAAGAACGCTGCTTTGGACTCGCATGATAATCAGACTGCTGCTACCAAGAATGATGGAGGCCAACAGATTAAGAAGAGTCCACCATCTACTCCTGCCTTTAAGAAGCGACACAAAGGCTGCTCATTTTGCATTTTGGACATTGAGAAGGCTCCGATTCCAGAGTTCCCATCCAATGAAGTAGTTGTTGGTGTAATTACAATGGAGGATGTCATTGAAGAACTTCTTCAGGTAAAGACAACCATTATTCCATAGCACATTATGGCCAGACTGGTACTGGGATCAAACTTCAGGGGTTTTGGACCCATCAGTGTCTGGCTCTGTTTATGGATCCTTGTACTGTTGTACAGATCTTTCTTATATTGATGAAATGATAGTGGCATTTTCACAATTGAACTTCATCTCCTATGTCATGCAATACTTCCAGACTCTACTGGAACAGTGCAGAGACTGCGTGCTTAAGCAAAATTGAAACTGTTTCATATTGTTGTACTTTCAAATATCGGGGACAAGTAACTGAAACCACTTATATGATATTATCATTCCTTAGGAAGAGCAAGAGCTCTGTCTTCGACTTTATCATGCTAATCTCGATCTACAAATGTTTTCTTATGTCAGGAGGAGATCTTGGATGAAACTGATGAGTATGTCAATATCCACAACAGGTAAAGATTAAGTTTCTTTCCTTTTATTTGCTTCTGTTGCATCCATTTATGAAACCTGCAAAGTAACGGAATTGCTCTGTGTGAGAAGTCAAAGGCTCTTCATCTCGTTTTATGTAGTTTTCTAAAAGGTGAATTGGAACAGCTTTGGCACCATCCATTTTGTTTTGAGCAAATTGAAGGAATCTCGGGGTTTGCTGATTTGCTGCACTGCCCTTTAGTCATGATCGAACCATGTTGCAATATCTCACATGAAATCTGAAAATGACTCTCATGTCCTCGGAATGCAGGATAAAAATCAATATGCATGCTTCTCAGGACAAGGTTCCCCAGTCAAATTCGCAGCCCACTGCCAATGATGCATCTGTCACGGGCACTGCATCCCCAACATCTCTGTTGTCCACGGCTCCAACACCAACCCTTTCTATCTCCAGTGGCACTTCGTTGACCAGCTCTCCAACCGCGACAAATCAAGTTTCTGAAGGAGACTCGTCAAAGAACCAAAGAGATTTGTAGTTGTCTTTGTTGATATATTGATATTAACGTAGATAAAGGTACAAGGACATATTTAGGATCAATCACGTTGGTACAAATCAGTGGTCAACTTGCTGTAAGTAACTACATATGTATACACAGCTGCTATTTGTTCCATGTGCTTTGTTGCATAATTTTTGTGCTTGAGATCATAACATAAAAGTTATGTAAGAAACATCTTAAATTATGAGTATGAGAAACAAGAACATTCTCTCTAGTTTTCATGAATTCTGAATTTTCTATGTATTTCCAAATTCTGGGAAGGGCTAGATGAATCTACTGGGCCTGACAACTTGGGGTCAGCCTCTGGCCAACTTGGCAATGTAAAAGAACTCACGCGCCATCTAGGCAGTGCGCGTATAGCAATAAGACAGCCCATAACGAAAAAGTCAGATTCGCAGGTAGCTGTTCGTTTTGCATTGACAGCGTTTTCTGTCGTTTTACAAGTTTTCATCTTACCGAACCACATGCCTACTGATTCTCCGAGGCGACCCTGCCTCTGCCTCGACCTTGTAATCTCACCTTTACCCTTTCTTTTTGTTTATTTTGGCAAAAACAAGGAATTCTTTCTTGCTTATTATTATCTTCTCCGTCGATATACCTATCTTCGGCTTTTCATGGTCCGAGTTAGCTTTTCTACGCCAAATCAAACACATAATTAGCCCAAATTACTTGAAAGCTATTTGATTTTTGAAGTTCTTATGTTGAAGGATTTTATATTTTTAAGAACAAATTCTAAGTTAATTCAAAAACCAAACTTCATTTTATATTAACCGAACTATAAGTCATTCGAGTGTCAAGTTCATAATTAAATCTATTAAAATGCCGAAATTAATTTTCAAATTTCCATCCAAATTCTTGAATATTGATTCAAGATTATGGCACCATGAACATTTTTAAATGTATTATGTTATTTCATATTGGTCGTTAAAAAGATTGACTGAGGAAAACTTTTATTTTTTAAAAATTATTTTTTCAAATTGAGAAATTTCAATAGCATCCATCTTTGATAACAGAGTTTAGATTAAATAATTTTTCATATGTGAATGCTACGCAAGTTAATCAGAAAACCTCACTCTTCGAGATATTTCTATAGTTCCAAACTTATTTTAAATTCAAATAAGGAGGAGACCAATTCACTTTAATGTAATAATATAATAATATATCAATACTTTTTTTTCTTGTTAAAGTTGAATTGGGTAAATGACTGTACTAGATAAACCCATTTAAACCTTGTCATTAGCTGTCTTTACTAATCTATCACTTCCAATTTGCTTAGTTTAGAAGAATAATCATTTTTCTTTCAAATTGTTATGACTACTTGTCCAAATTTAGATCCTTTATATATATATATATATATATAATTTCTTCGCTCCACTACAATCCAATCCCCACAGATCCTAACTCATAACTTCTACTGAAAATCTACAGTGAATATATCTACTTTTTAAGTTTTGTTTTTTCTGTTCATGCTTTGCTAGGAGATTTTCTTTTGTACTTCTGTTTGGCTGCTCATTTCATAACACATAGCTGGTAGCTAGAAAGGCAGAGATGGCCATAGATAGGCTTACCCGTCAAGCAAAAAGGCCTATTGGGTTTTGTGTAAAGACGACAGCAGTAGCAATAATGGGTCTTTGCTTTATATTTGTTTGGACTATGTTTTCTACTTCTTCAACTTCAGTAACCACTCAAAGGGAGAGCTTTGATGATATTGCTGAACCAGTAGCAGGAAATACCCGGGTAAGAAGTCCTTATTATACGCAATCTAAAGAGAAAGAAGAAGAAAAGCATGAATCAAGTAGATTTGAATCTGATTTGGAATTGAAGAATGATGAGAAAAAGATTAATGGGTCTGTTTCTGTGGCTGTTGATGAGCATGAATCTAGGAGAACGGATAAAAAGGAAGCTTCACATGAGAAAAAAGAGAAAGATGGTGCTAAAAAGTTGCCTAATGAGGCGGCAAAAGAAAATAAAGGGCAAGAGGAATCTGGGAATGAAGAATCAGAGAAGGAGGAGGAGGGAGGAGAGGTAGTGGAGGGTAAAGAAGATGCAAACGATGGTGAAAGTACTGAAGGGAATGGTGATATTGAAGGAGATGGCGACTTGATTGAAAATGTTGATCAAGAATCTGTAGAGAAAGTGGAAGATGAGAACGGTGGATCGAAAAGTTCAGGGAAGAAGAGGAAAATCAAGGGTCCTGTGTTTGATCCAAAAGCACATTATAGCTGGAGATTATGTAGCACAAGAAGCAAGCATAATTATATGCCTTGCATTGACATTGAGAGTGGCACTGGAAGGTTGCAAAGTTACAGGCATACTGAGAGAAGTTGCCCGAAAACACCTCCAATGTGTCTTGTTCCTCTGCCTCGTGACGGCTATGGAACGCCAGTGCATTGGCCTGAAAGCAAATTGAAGGTATATGCAGGGGCTTTGTTTCCTCTTTGAATGCTAAAATAGTGTGTGGAAAGGTAGGGTCTGCTTGATGGTCTCGTGTAATTGTTTCTGTTATTTGTTTGCAGGTATTGTATAACAATGTGGCACATCCAAAACTTGCTTCATTTATTAAGAAAAACAGTTGGCTGGTCCAGTCTGGGGAATATCTTACCTTTCCTCAAAACCAGTCTGAATTCAAGGGTGGAGTTGGGCACTACCTCGAATCCATTGAAGAGGTGAGATTTTCTTTTTCTGTCTGCAGTTCTGTAGCACCAGTACCTCATGTCTCTTAAATTGCAACTTTCCGACGATCTATTCTGTTATCATTGCTTTTTAGTAAAATAGACCTCGCCCCTTGTATAACTTTCTTAACAGAATCCGATTCAAAGTTCCAAGCACCTTGATACTGCTAACCTCTATAATGGATTTGGTTTGATAGATGGTGCCTGACATTGAGTGGGGAAAGAATATTCGTGTGGTATTGGATATTGGATGTACAGATTCAAGCTTTGTGGCGTCTCTACTTGATAAGGAGGTATTAACTTTATCTCTTGGGCTGAAGGATGATCTAGTTGACCTCGCTCAGGTTGCTCTCGAGCGGGGTTTTCCGACAATAGTCAGCCCTTTTGGGAGTAGAAGGCTTCCTTTCCCTAGTAGTGTTTTTGATGCTATTCACTGTAGCAGGTGCCGCATTCCTTGGCATTCCAAAGGTTTGTAATTTCTTAGCATCTCCTTTTCTTTCTTCTTCTTGCATTACTTTCCTCTCCTTGACCTTAATATCTTTTTCATGTCTCTGCTTGGCTCTTTTATTTTTGCTGTTAATATCATGATGCTTTCCTATTTTCAGGGGGCAAACTTCTTCTTGAGATGAATAGGATTTTAAGACCTGGTGGATACTTTATTTTGTCGACTAAACATGACAATATTGAAGAGGAAGAAGGTATGGTCCTATATACTTCCAAAACTTTTCTTTTTCTAGCATGCTGTAGGGCAAATGTAACTGTCTAGAAAGTTTGATACTTTCGTTTGTATCATCTTTCTAGCCAGTTAGTTCATCAAGGTACAATTTGTCTTTGGGGCATCAAACTTATGAACTGTTCCACTTAGTTTCTTAAGGTATACTTTCCTTTTAGCAAGTTGATGTAGCATATGCAGAAACGTATCAGATAAGGCGTTGACCATTGTGCTGGATCAAAGACCAGTTAGACTTCAGAATGCAGTCAAATCATTTGCTTGCTTTCTGTTACCTAGAGAAGCAGTCATTTGCCCATATTTTCTTGCAGTTTTCTATTGCCACATTTGTGAAACATTTGCTTGTGTTGTGTGATGCATTAGCTATCGAAGTTTATTTACTTGAGACAATTTTTGCTCTCCAGCTATGACCACTTTGACAGCATCCGTCTGTTGGAACATTTTGGCTCATAAAACTGATGAAGTGGGTGAAGTGGGTGTCAAAATATATCAAAAGCCCGAATCAAATGATATATATAAGTTGAGGAGGAAGAAAAATCCACCTCTGTGCAAGGAAAATGAAAATCCAGATGTAGCCTGGTAAGCCTAAGCGATTTCGTTTGAATGATATATCTTCGTGTTTTAGTATGACTGCCATAATAATTATGTTTCGTCTGCAAATGAAACTTCAGTTAAGCATTATTTTTCAGACCCATGCTTTCTTTCGTCAGGTATGTTCATATGAAGACTTGCTTACACTCTATTCCGTCTTCAATTGAACAACACGGGGCAGAGTGGCCTGAGGAATGGCCTAAGAGGCTTGAAACTTACCCTGACTGGATGAACAATAAAGAAAAATTGATTGCTGATACCAGCAACTGGAAAGCTATTGTTGAGAAGTCTTATCTCACAGGAATGGGTATTGACTGGTCAAATGTCAGGAATATAATGGACATGAAAGCCATCAATGGGGGGTATGCTAACTGAACGACTGAACAATTTCAATTTCCTTTTGAAAGTTGTAGTATCTTGTTCAAATGATTCATGAGGTGATGTGGTTAAAGAACAAGTTCTGTAGGCCTTCACATTAATTCCATCAGCACGTTTTACTTGTGTCAACAGTGTAAAACATTTCATAACAAAGTAAAGAGTAATCTTCATGTGGAAATTCAGATTTGCTGCTGCTCTCTCACAACAGAAGGTTTGGGTGATGAATGTGGTTCCCGTCCATCTACCAGACACACTTCCTATCATATACGAACGTGGGCTAGTTGGCGTCTATCATGATTGGTGCGAGTCATTCGGCACATATCCAAGATCATATGATCTTTTACATGCTGATCATCTGTTTTCACGGCTTAAGAACAGGTCAAAATTACTTCTCCAGTTCTGCCTTTTTTATACCTACTACTTTATCGTCATTCTTTTGCACATAGAACTTTACTGTGCTCTTATCACTTACCCAAGAACTTTGTTGTTTAGGCGTTCATTGCAATATGCCAACATGATTTCTTAGTGTTTCTAATTAGGGAGTCAAAAGGCTTCTAGTTCAGTGCAATATGCCTACATTATCTCTTGGGATGAAGGATGAACAATACTTTCCAAAATGTTGGAGTTTCTTTCTAAGCATCGGAATGCTGTGTTTATTTCTAGAGTATAGTTTTGATCACTCATCCAATGTTTAATCTAACTTCAGGTGTAACAAGCCTGTATCGATTGTCGTTGAGATGGATCGTATATTACGACCAGGCGGCTGGGCAGTCGTACGAGATAAGGTTGAGATACTAGATCCTCTAGAGGGAATACTGAGAAGTTTACAGTGGGAGATTCGCATGACATATGCTCAGGATAAAGAGGGTATATTATGTGCTCAAAAAACCATGTGGCGGCCTTAAAAATTCAAGCATAGGCAGAGCTTGTGTTATGAAACTGTGAGTGAAAAATGAAAGTAAAATAGATGAAGGCAATTTTTTTGCTTCTGCCTTCAATACTGAATGTTCATTAGTGTATTATATATGGTCAATCACTCATGTTACCACAGTAAATAATTGGATTATTACCTCCCCGTTGGTTTTGGTAACATATTCAGTTATTAACAATCTTCTATTCTTTTTTCTTTTTCATTCCTTTTCTTATGTTTACTATCTGCAGTGTGGCTTCTCCTTACTAAATTATTTCCTTTTGGGATTTAATAAACTATGAGCAAAAGTTCAAAAAATTCTTTCCAACAAAGTTCTTGTAATACATGCGATAATAACATCCTCTTATCATCGTCCCTTTTTATGGTAATCATTGTAATTCTTCAAGGCAACTACAACAAAACTAAATTAAAACTAGGATTAGTAGCTTCATCTATTTTTATATAATAAGATAATTTTTAATGTGTCCTTGTATTTTTAATTGAGATAATTTTATTTTTAAATATACATTAAGTTTTTAATTTATCATTATGGAAAATTGGTAACATGATTTGCATATAAATTTTTTTTTATTTGTTTGACTTGTAAAAATATATTTTAAAAATAAAAATTAGTCATGTATAAATTGCATGACTAATTCTAATAATTTGATAGATTTGAGTCATTAATTCTTAATATTGTTGTTTGCCATTGCCATTGAATTGTTGGCTTAGACATTAAATTCATTTAGTTTAAGGGTTGTGTATCTAATAAATTTTTTTAGTAAAAACAAGATTCAAGTCCTAATAATTTTTATTTCTATATCTATTTTTTTAATGTAATGAGAGAGATCTACCCTCGTTGTATTGCTAAAAGGCTAGAGACCTCTTATGAATTAAAACCAAAAAAAAAAAAAAAGAGAGACCGAAAGTTTTATGTGAATGTAATATTTCTTGTTACAGACTAACTTAATCTAAATTGATCTCGAGATCTGATCCAAGATTAACTTGATTATTTATTTTTTCATTTGTTTCAAACAATCCAGTTAGCCAGTTTCTGTTATCGTGAGCAAAAAGCCTATGGCCCATAGAAAGTATAATGGGCCGAAAAGCCACTAAAAATGGGTCAAAACTGAGGCAGCCCATCATCTCTGCTAACTAAACTAAGAAAACTGCCGTCGTCGTCTTCAGTTTTCACCTCCCCAACTGTCTTCAACAATGAAAAACACTTCTGCTACTTTCTCTTCGACAATCCCTCGCTTCCCCTAAAAACCCATATACTCAAAAACCAAAATCCCCATCATGCCCCTGACGTCCACTCCTGCTCGCATAACTCTCCTCGCTCTCCTCTCTGCCACCACAATCTTCTGCTTCTATAAGTCTCGCCGCCTCAAAAAACTCTCCATAAACCCTAATTCTAACCCTAACAAATCCAAACTTTTCTTCATCTCCCAAACTGGCACTTCCAAAACCTTAGCTTGTCGTCTACACAATCTCTTAACCTCAAACAATCTCCATTTTGATCTCGTCGAACCCCAAAATTACGAGCCCGAGGACCTCTTCAAAGAAAAATTGATAATAATCATTGCTTCCACTTGGGAAGATGGTAAACCGCCTCAAAATGCGAAATTCTTCGCGAATTGGCTTGCCGAAAGCGCAGACGATTTTCGTGTCGGTTCGTTAATGCTCTCGGAATGTAAGTTCGCGGTTTTTGGTGTTGGAAGTAGAGCTTATGGCGATACATTTAACGCTGTGGCTAAAGATTTTTCGCGGCGGTTGAGGGGATTGGGAGCAAAGGAGGCTGTGGGAGTTGGTGAGGGTGACGTGGATAGTGGTGAATTGGATGGGGTTTTTGAGGAGTGGAGTGAGAGACTGGTTAGGGTTTTGAGAGGAGAGAGTGTGGAGAATGGAGAGGTTTGTGGTAATGGAGGGGTAGTTAGTGGTGAGAGTGATTATGAGAGTGATGAAGATGAAGATGAGGAGAATGGTGGGGTCGAGTCGGGTATTGTTGATCTTGAGGATATTGCGGGCAAAGGGCCGTCAAGGAGGTCAGTTGTTGTGGCTCAAACTAATGGGAAATCAAATGGAGCGAATGGGGCATTGAATGGTCAAAAAGAAATGGTGACTCCTGTGATTAGGGCAAGCTTAGAAAAGCAGGTATAAAATCAAGCTGATGTTACAATGTACCTTTCTTTAAATGCCTGGTTATGAATTCTTTATGCAGGCGTGTTTTGCTTAGTATTCCTTTTTCGTTTCCTAATTGGAGTTCCCAAATTTGGTAGTTCTTTAATGAAATTGAATTTGCAGGGATACAAAATCATTGGTTCTCATAGTGGTGTTAAGATTTGTAGATGGACCAAATCACAGCTTAGAGGGCGAGGAGGTTGTTACAAGCACTCTTTTTATGGAATCGAAAGTCATAGGTGATTGATTTTTGTTTTTATGTATATTTTGTTCTCTTGTTTGAGTTTTGGATTAATTGGTAGGCTGCTTGTAAAGATTTTGTTAGCTGTAGTCAAGTGTCATATGCTCATATAGATTTTGGCACTCATCTGTAGTCTGTAAAGCTGAGTTTATAGTATGGTACGTATTTCTAGTTATCATTTTTTACTTCTCTATAAGTCGTAATTGTTGAACTTGAATGAACAGGTGCATGGAGGCAACTCCAAGTTTGGCGTGTGCCAACAAATGTGTTTTCTGTTGGAGACATCACACAAATCCTGTAGGAAAGAGCTGGCAGTGGAAAATGGATGATCCTCTAGAGATAGTGAATTCTGCCATAGATTTGCATTCAAAGATGATTAGGCAAATGAAAGGAGTTCCTGGTAATCTTTATCTTTATGTTACTGTTGTTGGTGGATAGTCCTTTAGAATTATGAACTCTGTCCTATGTGCACCTGCAATGCAGTAAATATGCATTCTGCTCCTAATGAAAGATGATAAGTCTTAAAACTATCATGTTGTCATGACATAATGTTGTGCAATCTGAGTCATTCATGGCATTTAATTGGAGCAACAACCTGACCCTAGTATTCAGGCCTATATTGGGATTGAGCCCTGGAAAGGAACTGGTTTAACTCAAATCAGAAGTTTGGGAGTGAGAGCTCTAGAATACTGATATGACTTCACTGGTGTAATAGGTTTGGGGGTGAGGTGAGGCAATATTTTTGTATGTGTGCATACGCTGATTCATTTGCTTAAGTTTAGAAGTTCCTGGACATGAATATCTTTGCGTGATTTTTAATAAATATTTTCTATTTTGAAACTTGAAAGTGTTCAGTTACTTGAAGAACATAAGTTATCCAATTGACAAGTTGATCTTTACTATGGAAAGTGTTTTGAACCATGATATACTTTTTGTAGAATTATAACGTGTGGATGAAGTTATTATATTCTTTAACCTTATTTTTGCACTATACTGGGTCATCCAATGCCTTGACTAGCGTATTATATTCCTGCAGGTGTTACTCTTGAGCGATTGAATGAAGGTCTTTCTCCCAGGCATTGTGCTTTATCACTTGTTGGTGAACCTATTATGTATCCAGAGATTAATACACTTGTGGATGAGCTGCACCGAAGGCGAATATCTACATTTCTAGTAACAAATGCACAGTTCCCTGAGAAGATCCAAATGCTGAAGCCTCTCACCCAGGTATGAAGGCTCCTGTTTAGTTTTCTGTTGAAGTAGAATCTGGCATCTAAAGATTCATATACTCTTGCTCATGGACCAATACTATTTGATTTCTTTGATACATGCAGTTATATGTCAGTGTGGATGCTGCAACAAAAGATAACCTGAAGGCTATCGATAGACCACTTTTTGGAGATTTTTGGGAGCGATTTATTGTAAGTTCCTTTTTAGCCTAATGATGTGTTGCTTGGTAATGCACCCTTATTCGTGATGATGGATCAGAGGTTTGTGTATCTGCATTATAGCTTGTTTTTCATGTGCCTAAAGGGAGAGCTAAATGCTCTCTGGTGTTTCTGGGGGCCTAGTTTACTTTGCTTTTACCTATAATGTCTTGCAGCTTTTCTTTGGCTTAGAAGCATGTTTCAAGCCCCATCAGATCATTCTGCTTCCGTATCCCATGGATGAGATGTATGAGCATGCGACATACTCTTGCTGGCATTTCCAAGTTTCTTACCTAATTTTTTGTACTTGCTATAACTTATGAAGACTCCATTATTGCTCATATGCTGTACAATTTTCATAAAATGCTGCCAGGATTCTTTGAAATCTCTCAAGGAGAAGCAACAACGGACTGTTTATCGTTTGACACTGGTGAAAGGGTGGAACACAGAGGATGTAGATGGTTATTTTAACCTCTTCAGCATTGGGCAGCCTGATTTCATTGAAATCAAAGGCGTTACATACTGTGGATCGTAAGTTGTTTAAACTATCATGTTTTGCAATTAGCAATGATGTGATTAATAATCTTGGGTTTTTATACAGGTCTGCTACGTCAAAGTTGACGATGGAGAATGTGCCGTGGCATTCTGACGTGAAAGCTTTTTCAGAGGCCTTAGCTCTTAAAAGCAAAGGGGCATATGAGGTTGCTTGTGAGCATGCCCACTCATGTTGTGTCCTTTTGGCAAAAACTGAGAAGTTCAAAATCAATGGCCAATGGTTCACATGGATAGATTATGACAAGTTTCATGATCTGGTTGGCAACAGCACCAATATCAGTTTTTCAGAAGTACATTTTTGTAATTAAAACACACTAAACCAATTATTTTCTCATGAAAATGCAGGTTGCTGCTGGTAAACCTTTCGATAGCAAGGATTACATGGCTGCAACACCTTCTTGGGCTGTTTATGGAGCTGAAGAAGGTGGATTTGATCCAGATCAATTTCGGTATAGGAAAGAGAGACATCATAAATCCAGTCACTGATCAACCAGGTTAGAGATCAGAATCAGCAATGAGGTCTCTTTTTTTTTTTTTTTTTTTTTTTGGGAAAATGATGGAACACATGAATCAGCAATTCACAAACAGACAAAAAACAATTGCCAAAGAAAGTTGAATGAAATTACTGTCATTGCATTGTGTCTGTCGTGATGTGTTTCAGACCCAAAACTGGTGTAGTGTAGCAGCACTCTTTTGTTTATTCTTCTTTTTTTCATTAATTATTAGGCGATGGTGTTCTGTACTCCTGTAAAACAGTTTTGCCTTACCTGGTTATAGATAGGGGGAGAGGTGAGAGTCCATTACCCATGTATTTAAAGTTTTCTTTGTTTAGAAAGAGAAGCTAAGTTATGAAATAATACTAATAGATATAGCTGTGTTTTTTGTTGGCCATTTATTTCACCTATTAATTTATGCAGAAGAAGTTAGAACGAACAGTTTTGCATTATATGTTCGTTTTAATACTCATGTACTCTTGTTTTTATTTTATGTTAGTTGAAGTGGCACCAACGCCAGTCCAGAATTGATTCTTTTATGTACTCTGGCGTAGTGCACTCACCATTCACCACACTCACGTATCTGATATTCTACTGCCGTTATGCATGTGGAATTTTTTTGACTGAAGCCGTTTATGCACGTCTATGAACATCTTGGCTTGGTGGCACAATTCCTCATTTCTACTTAAGCTTTTTAAATTTGAACTTTTTACATGCAGTCTGCAACCAAATATGCTCACCTCTGTTTTTACCTTCGTGACTTCTCCCTTGAATCTATCTATGACCCCATGCAGTCATGGAAAGAAAAAGATTTAGACATGTCTGTTGGGCTCAGATGACGGACAATGAAATGAAAGCGTTTGCTTTTACGTGTTTTTCATTTGCATGACTTTTACGTCCAACCTGCCATTAGGATTTCCCATGGAAGAATCTGTCTTAAGCACAACCTGTACATTCTAATCCAATTACATTTGCTGTATCTTTGGCTAATGATGTTAAACAATCGATCCATCTTTCCATAGTGAAATGTAGTACGTTTCTGTCAGAGACGAATGATCAAATTTGACGATGACTTTTTCAAGCAGTAAATTAAAATTAGTGAAACGGATTAATTAGTTTTTTCTACTTCAAAAACTAGTTATTTAAGTTTTATTGTTTTGTTTTATGTTCTTTTCTAGCTTGTTTCTTTTTTAAATTAAAGGGGAAAAAATAAATAGAAATTATGAAAAGATTGAAGAGAAATGAAGACATTTTTTTTGAATAATTTAATATTAAATTAAATAACTAAAAAAGTATTTTTTTTTAACAAAAAGATTAACAAATTTGCTTTTCGAAACTGGATAGACTGATTTATAATGTACTCTTTTGTCAAGGGACTACTGTTCTTCGTTAGCCAATTATTTAGAGGGAAAAAAAATTATGGGGGTTGCTTAAGTCAAAGAGTAATTAATGGCAGAGAAGCAAGCCGTTTTTGTCATCTGTGAAGGGACATCGATGAAGAGGGAACTATCAATGCTAATACACGGATTGCCACTATGCACACGGTTTACGATCAACGGTCATGATTATTGTACTCCAGTAAGGTCTAAATCAAAAGGAGTAATCTAATCTAAAACCCTGAAGGAATTAATTAAAAAACTATAATAAATGCTTACTTCTTAACTCGAAGCATTTCAAAAGCAGGAATTATGGTCTACAATCCACCAATCAAACAGTTGCTTGCTAGGCTTTCAGGTGGGACAGCAACTTGCAATCTTTGGCCCTCTTCTGGATACGGACGGGTCCCATCTTTGATAGCGCGTGAAGTCACCATCTCACCTGAGTTTTTCAATAAAAATGCATCTCCTCGTTTTCCATTATCATTATTATTATTTGCCCTTTCTACAACCCTCAAGTAAGATTCCCAAATATTTAAGGAAGTTTTTACTCAATCTTCAAACATTTTTTTTAATTGCATTTCAAAATTTCAAAATTAAATTTTCTACTATTATAAAAAAAAATAATAACAATAATAAAATTTTTTTAAAAAAAAAGATGATGAGAACATGAATTCATTATGAAATAAAATGAATACAAATAATAAAAACTTCAAATAATTCTTTCAATCTCTACAAAACACATTTACACAAAATAATGACTAATCAAAATTATTTATAGGCTTCAAGATTAGGAAGAGACTATGAACTATTAAAGATGCATAAATAATTGAATCAATTGCATTACCTTTTCAATTTCTCATATTGAAAGGTGAATTAAATCACTTCAAGAATAATGAGTAGTAAAAATATGAAATGGACATTCATTATTTCATAGCACTTCCCATTGAATGTTCATTGTAAAAATAATATGTCTCGTTAAAACTTTACTAAAAAAAACTCAATGGAAAAAAATTCTAATGAAAAAAAGAGTATAATATTCTTTGTACATATCAATATCTATGTCGAGATCTCTTTATTAAAAACATCATTTAAGATCCGTAAGACCACGCCTCTCTTGTGAACCATTTTTTCAAAAATTGTGATAGGTAATGTCTTAGTGAATAAGTCCATCGGATTGTCACTTTGATGTATTATTCATTTAATTAAATTATGTAAGCAACCTTATCTTTATATGAAATTATTGAAACTTCTTTACCGATAAATAAACCGCACGTCTTTCAAATATAATGGGTCATTGATTTTAGCTAAATAGATTCTTAACTTGCTTCATGAATTGGTATTTATACATAATTTGAATATGTAGAACCTATAGTTTGCTTCATATAACATCATGATATAGTTGTATCACCATGTGTAAATACATAACTCATTTGTGATCGAGTTTTGTATGGATTAAATAAATAACTTGTATCTCGCATAATCGATTAAACTTGACTTTTATTTATTTGAGAAAAATATATATTATATCAATTTTTCCTCAAAGACAACGTAGAAAATATTTAATTACATTTCAATGTCTTTATATTGAAACATAATGATGTCTTACTAATACATTTATAGAAAATGTTATATCAAGTTAAGTATTATTAGTAAGATATATCAATGCATTAGCAACGCTAAGATATGGTCCTTCAAGATCGGTAGTTCTTCCTTGTCTTCTCGAGATTGAAAAGGGTTTTTTTTTTTTTTTTATCAAGTGAACAAACTACCATTGGACTAATAAATGGATACACTCTATATAGAATCATTGTAGAACTTTTTCTATATAAATTGACTCGATGAATAAAAATCTCATTCTCTAAGTGGTCGAACTATAAGTTGAGGTAAAATTTTGTTTTTCCAAAGTATATCATATTAAATTCTCTTTTTAGATAACTTATGGCACTTTAAATCTATTCAGGAGTTCCAATTCCAATGATATTTAAATCATCAACATATACAAGACTTCTCATAAATCCTTTTTCAAATTTCTTTACAAAAATACATAAATAAATAAGATTATTTTTATAATATTTATTCAACAAATATTTATTGAGGTGATTATACCATAGACACACATATTAGTAATAAAAGCATATATTGAAAAATAATAAATAAATAAATATAAAAAGTATAACATAAACTGAATTTCTAAAAAATAAAAAAAATAAAACAAATACTAAAATAATATTTATAGAAATCTCTATAATTTAATTGAATATATTTTTTCAAAAATATGTATTACATGCTTCGTGCATCTTAAGTCCTTTTAGGACTTTCATATAAATATCATTTTTAACTAAACCAATAAACTATGATCACATCTATTAAATGCATGTATATGAAGTTTTTACATATTTTGTCGAGCTAATGAGATAACAAAATATAATTACATCCATTATAAGAGAATATATCTCCTTATAGTCAATATTAGCTAATGAGAAAACTTTTGTGTTACAAGTCTTGCTCTATATCTTTCAATCTCATATTTCTTTCTTTCTTTTTTTTTTTTTTTTTTTTTGCATAAATACCCATTTGTATCTCACTTGCTTAACATTTTCAAGTGTTTTGACTATGGGTTCAAAAAATTACTCGTTTGTAAGAGAATATAATTCTACTTTGATTACTCTTTTCATTTAGGTCAATCATCTCTATGTCAATATTCTTCAATAAATTTAGGCTCAAGATCCTTATTTTGATTCAAAATGTCAATTGCAATATTATATGCAAAAATGTTATCAATAAATGTTTCTTTTCGATCATATTTTCTCCATGTATTGATATAATTTATCAAAATCTCTTGATTTTTCTCAAATATTTGGACTTCTTCTAAAAGTCTACTATCAAAATTATATTGGATCATTTTATAAATATTTGTATTTTTTATATTTTTATCTTGATTATTTGCCCTTTTTTTGAAGAATTTTTGTATTTAGAATTGATTGATCTTCCACGCTTCAAGCTTACTTTAGATTCATTTGATATAAAATTAATAGATTATTCTTCGAAGACATGAATTCTAATATAAGCACTCTTAGCGGGGACATGCATTTTAGTTACTCTTTTTGGATCCGAGAATGCATCTCGGTAGTTGGTTTATAATACTTTAGGAATAAATTATCTTATGAACTTTTGGTTCATATTATTTTATACGAGGATGATAATGTAAAGACCGAATACTCTATGTAATATCTTTTTTCAACATTATTAACTCGCTTATTTTGTTTATTCTCTCTCCCTAATGTTGAAAAAACTATTTTATCAAAATGATAGTTAGTAAATCAAGTTGTAAGAATATCTTAGGTTCATGGTTCAAAATATTTTAATTATCAAAAAAAATTTAAATCTAACATATATTCTTAATTTTCTTTAAATGACCATTTTAGTTCATTGTGGAGAAGCAGTTAGGGTATATACCGCATACCCAAAAATTATTAGATGAGAAATATTTGATTCATGACTAGAAACCAATTGAACAAGGGAGAATTTCTAATAACTTATGGATTTGATGCGAATAAGTGTTGGTATATGTAAGATTGCATGTCTCTAAACGTAAATATGGAGTTTTATTTTT